CTAAAGACGTCGCTGAAGAGACTCGGCGTTCCAGCCGGAGTAGCGGCGGGACCCGTCCTAGGACAAGCTCCCAACCATGGGTGATGGGGGCGAGAGGGAGGGATAGGGAGTGTCGCTCCTTCCTCTTGTCTATGGATCACACAAATGGGAACACTTTGAGCTCCACGGAGGAGTCGACCGAGAGGTATGAAGTGTGTCCCGTCGTGGGTGGAATGAGTTCCACCTTTCTGGCAGAAAATGAAACGACTGTGAGCAATGAGCTCATGACGAGAGCCGAAGAGCAACTACCGCTTGTGGATGACGGATGTACTGCGCCTGTGTGGAACGGAGTGTCGGTGGTCCCAAATGCAGTGGGCATTTTGGAGGATGGAACAAGAAGCGTTTGTGACGGAGGTAGGCTCGGGATCCGTGTGGGACGGTCCCTTGATAGCCGCGAACATTGACGAACGCTGGGGTGCGAACCAAGGAGTGCTTATGAGAGTAGACCAAGAAAGTGAGAGCGAAGCAATGAAATGAGAGCTAAACAAGGAAGGGAAGCGGAAGGACCGCGACCCAAGGCGTCCTCGGCGGAACGAGACTACCCGACGACGCCAACCGACCACAAGAGTGTGGTGTCGAGTGTGCTGGATCCAGATGAGGAAAGGAGTAAGTCCAACGACCACGTGCTACAGGAGGAGTTACCCCAAGACGTGACGGAGGTACTCGAAAGCCCACCCCGAGAAGAGTGTGGAGCTACATAAGCTAGTGTCCCAGTCTCAAGGGCAGAACCACGCGAAAGATAGGAAAACGTGCCCCCCCCCGGAAGAAACGACTCCAGAAAGGACTCTGAGGACGTCGTCTGTACTAGTTTGGCAAAGGATGAACCCGAGAAGGAGCCTTCCTTTGCGAGAGTGTTCACCGAGGAAGAGCTAGATGCTTTGGAAAACGGGGAGCCATCTGAGCTGGCCGGATAGAAGGAACAGTATGACAAAGAACTCGAATACCGACTGTTCCCTCTCGATGAGGTAGAGCTAAAGCGCCGGTTGGTCGAGAACGCGAAGCAGTCGAAGGCGTTGTCTCCTGCCGAATGAGTGTTCTGCTCGGTCGACATACCTGAAGAAAAACTAGCGAGGACCCGAGATTCTTCCCCCGGTCGACTGTCTACTCCGGAGTACTGGTTGGAATGGTTCCAAAAGACGCTAGCCTCGTCCGGAGAGGCGAAGCGCGCCAACCGTAACTTCATAGAGGAATCGCCGGTCCTGATCAACTCTGTGACATCGGGCGACTCGGATTACCGATACGAAGGAGGCGGGACTTTGACGAAGCGGCTCTCGTGGCAGGATGTGCCTAAAACGATTGTCCACTTCCCGGAGTTGAAGATACCACCTCAGCCGGGCGATGTGTGTCTCGTGGACCCCTCCGTGGTGGAAGATAATATCGCGCTGGCCCTGGAAGGTTCTTTAGAGAGGCCCTCTGACCTCAGCCGAACCGAGCACGGGTTGCTGGTCTCTCGAGAAATTGTGCCTGGCCCTTTGCGTGCCGTGGTGCGACGAGCAGTACATTTCCTCGTAGTGAATGTGACGGGTGTGAAGGGTGTATTGGCGAAGAATCGCAAAAAGAAGAGAAGAAAGATAACCCCCCCCCCCGCCCATACTGAGCTCCAAGACCTCCTAACCAGGACCGGGGATCTGCTTGATCGCCTCGTAGCTCCCTCTGATTCGCGATTGAAGGAGTTACTAACTAAGAGGATATCGGACCTCTACGAGAAGGATGCTGATCAACTACGCTTGAAGATCCTCGAGAAGAGTTCACCCTGCTGACTCTATCGTTCCGAGCGGCCTGGTCCTAAACACTTTCCAAAACCGAAGCAAGTCCGTTCGACTGTCCTCTATGTTCAACGACCGTACCGAAGCCGTCGGTCCGATTTGGTTTTCCCGAGATAAGGAAAACGGGTTATACGGCTATGTGAACGTCGTCGCCGACGCTCCAGAGCCCCGCCCAAAGCTGGGCCTGGTAGAGGTACCGAGTGCTGCAAGGAACAGGTCGGCCGAAGAGGAAGACGAAGTCGTCCCCTCGGAAAGCGGGTGGTCGGATCAGTGGGGGGGGCGCGGAAGCTCTATCGTAGGGGTTTATCGAGAACCGCCCGGCCGAACATCTCATTGACTCCGGGGCCGTAGCGTGCCTAGTACACCGGTGTGAATTGAAGTGTCTCAGCTTAACTAACTCTCCTATCCTACCATACGGTGGTAGTCTGATCGGTGTGTCCGGGTCAACGCTCGTTATCGAAGGCGTTATCTACTGCCTGTGACGTTGAAAAAAAACTCATGCGTTGATGGCAGCTCCCTGGTTGACAGGTGCCACCCCCAAACCCTCACGCATGCGCCGGGCAGCTTGGAAGTATTCCTGCCGATGGTCGATGTCGTTCGTGATCTCGCGAGGCGCATGGATAGCACCCTCCTCTTCCTCTTCACCCGAGGAGCCGAAGAAGTTTCAATAGGAGTAACCAGTATTATTTTTCTCCCGGAGTGGAGACTTCGAAGCCGTGCGCTTTTAAAAGGGCTTGGCGTATTCGGCTTTGGTTGCCTTAGCATGCGCAAGACCCTCGATTTTTTTCTGTCGTCTGATCACCGCATCATATTTTAATGATCCAACGACCGTAGTCAGCCCGTTCTACTTTTTGTAAGGACTTTGCGAATATTTGTTTTTTACTTCACCTGGCACTCACCACTGCCACCGTGCAATGAAGGCGCGCGGCTGCACGGTCATTGCGCTATCTGCTCCCGTGCACCCCACCCGACGAATGCATGCGCGCACGATACATAGTCTTTTAGTAACTTTTATTGCATGTAAAGTATGTATTTGTTTGGAAATCTGATAATAATATATTAAAGATAAGCCAAATATTAATAATATAAAACATTTTACTATTTAGCTTTATAATAAATACCAGCCTTACATTACCGTGCTATTGGCTAATATTTGGACGCAAGTAATTGGTTAAAATAATATATGTTGCTCAGTTTGCAAAATGGTGGGCCTATCGTGCAAGCAATGCGAGGCGAAGATTGACCCGCTTCTACTGAACCCGCAGCGGTCTACGACGGACCCCCGAGCGCGCTGCGTCTGCTGCGGGAAGCTGCAGTACGGCTACGCATTCCGTACAATCAGCGGGCGGGACATCGTGCGGCGCTGTATTGCCTGCGAGAACGGCCCAAAAGCGGTTGAGTTTTGGGAGGAAAAGCCCCCACCACCTGATTCGGCCGAAGTGCGCCGCCAGGAAAGCCTGGCGAACGTCAAGAAGGCGATGGGCCCTGACTGGTACCCCAAGAAGAAAAAGAGGCGCAGCCGCCCTCGCAAGCTGACCGCCCGAAACGCCAAGTACATCGAGCGAAAGAAGCAGCAGATGAGCAAGTAATTGGTAAATACACCCTTTAAGGCCCCCACATTCCTTCCTATCTTTGTATTTAGTATACTGGCTGACCGGGCGAGGCTCAGGGTCGCACATATGGTAGTCAGCCTATGGCGCAGTCAGTATTGTTGACACACCTAAACAGCGTAGCGCCTTTCAAATAATATTTAGCACATGGTATCTACTGTGGACAGCCGCAAGCTGGCCGTTTCTATCTGCGTACGCGTCACACGTACACTCCCTCACTTGGACAAAGGCAAGCCACGCTATCTGTATCGTCAATGTTCACAGAGTATATTCCACTAATGTGCGCTCATAAATTTAAACTACAGTTTTGAGTGAGTACTACGTGCAACAAAACGGTTGCTGTCTACATAGATACGAGCACGTGTGCGGTAATGCAGACCGTACAGGTGGATGTTCCAGGTCGATGTTCCTGTATGCAGTTCTGTATTTTAGTGTCCTGTCCATAATGGTCGACATATGAGCTCGCTTAAGTCGCGGATGGCTACAAGGTGTACCCGCCGCGCGCGTATAAAGCACTACTGCTAAGAGACGCGCGACCAGCTTGCCTATATCGCTGCGGTATGGCCTGTGCCCAGTTAGTGACGCGCTGAGTCATATAGGCTATTCCATTAGACGCGTAAGCACAGTAAGCCAGCACCATGACGCAAAAGTACCGAGAAAGCGAAAGTGACCCAATGTGCTTTGGCTACCGCGAGAGCGTGGCGCCGACGAGCTTACGAAATCAGCAATGCACGGACATAGCAAACAACACGCCAAGCTGATAAGTAGTGGCGAGCGTACAGCATCTAACGTACATGAGCTACTATTCGATTCAAATCTAAAGACCACTACGATATGATAATCTGCCTATATCGATATGTATTCGCATGTTCGTCATACATATCAGAGCTTGCTACTCGGAAAGGATCGACGCCGCTCTGTCAGTCAGTAGCTTTGCAAATCAGTCAGTAAGTGCAAGTAAGATCAATGCATGCGGAAGATAGTGGAAAACCCTTCGCTAATATCATAAGCAGCTCAGCGGAAGAATTTCAAGGCATAATATTGGTGTTTTGTGGCAACCATCGGCAAAGCATACTTGCTCTAAAAGGTACTTCGCGGGATAGGCTGATTAAACCTTGCTCTAATAGACCGTCGCAAAAAAAAAATGGTGTCGACTGTCTCACAGCGATGACGTGACCGATGGTATTAAGGCTAAGTAGGCGTATTTCCTCCAGCTAAACTGAGATCCCTCACCGATCTATGCCAATTTGGATCATCATTGAAACTGACACGTCTTCTGAACAGCATATATAAACGCTTTAGCCACGCGCGCCTCCGATTCGTGTCATTTTGGTAGCTATTTGCTCAAATGGTATTAAACAAAACCTTCCCGGGTAAGATGGTGCTCATCTTGCAGATCACGATAAACCCTGGTCATGTCTACCACAACATGTGAGCACTATAGATACTGTGTGCGGTGTTGTTTTGGAACGTAACATAAGTAGATCACAGTATACATATATTATATGTAGCTTCGCTCTAAGTAGAAATTCTAAGCACACCGCAGCGCAGCGGAGGTGTCCAGCCTACGCTACGCAAACCAACCATGCCCAAGCGTCCGCGGAGCGGGCGCCCAGAGCGCTAGTATATACATATATTTCCAATTCGCCATGGTGTGAAATTGGCAGAATAGCACTGTGGCTTGGGGGGTATCTCTCTAGCACTTTCCACTCCTTAACATCTTTGTCTATCACAAAGGTCTGGATTTTTCTCCGCGAACTGTTATGCGTTTAAAAAATTCCATAATTGTTTCCATTGTCTCCACCGTTTCGTTAAGCGCAACAACGTCCAGTATAGGCACGCCACGTCCAGTTGCACTAGTCACCAGGTGTCCACCTGTATTTACAGAAATATAAGAGACAATTAGTAAGGTTGCTACAACAGAGATAAGGGTGTCCCGGAGATAAGTGTGCTTGGCGTAAAGAACGCCCCAAAGCTAAGGGCGCCTAATGAAACAAAATTAAAGGAAAGTTGTATGACTTCGCACAATTAATGAGCGATCTTTTCACTGTGAAAACAACAGCGTGCCAGACGTTGCCGCTGAATTCAAGAACGCGGTACGCATGAACCTGAAGGAGACAGATGTGCGAGAGCGTGTCGTGCAGCTCTTCCGAGCTAGCAGGGAGTGAGTGGAGGAACGAGGCTGGTCAGACATTTTTTTGGACAAGGAAGGACAGAAGTTAAAGTGCAAATTGATGGTTGCTTCAATTGAACCTCCGTCGTTGCGCGAAGAAGTTGAAGTCATTCTTTCATATCAGAATAGGGCAGCACGATCGGATGAGAAACTGCTGTATAAGGTGATAATTGAGAAGGCCTTTGAGCATGAACGAGCGTTTCAGCGTCGGAGGCGCTAACGCACGGTGGTGAAAAATGATTTTCAGCCTGATGCACCGCACTCTGGGGGCTGTCCGAATAAAAAGGCCCGCACGGTGAAAGCAACTGATTCACACCGAGAAGCTCGTCCGACCGGCCAGCAGCCAGGCGCGTCAAAATTGGAGCCTGGGTCCAAGTCTAAAAGACAACTTAAGGCACCGAAAGGAGGATGCTTAAAGTGAAAAGGGGATCACTGACTGGTCCGTTGCCCGGAAGCCACTCACGAAGAGAAGACGACGTTGCTTGAGGCAGCAGCATGAGCGCCGAGATCGTGAGAAAGCTGAACGGAAAAAGACTTCACAGTTGTGAAGGCTGAAGTGCATCAACGAGTGCCTAGATGGCTAAGTAAGACTTGTCCACCTAAACGGGGTGCACTCAATGCCCTATTGCGCTGATTCGGGGGCGGATAGAAGTGTGATCGGACGGAAGCAGGTGATGGAACTAATGAGAAAGGATGTGTCGGTACGGCGTAAGGATTTGGCGGAGAGGTTCCTGTCAAACCAGCGGGTGGACACACTCTCCGGGCTAGAAGCAGAGCTGATTTGAAGTTGCAAATAAACACTGCAGCTGGTCCTGTTCGTATAACGACTCCTGTGCGATGTTTGATTATAGAAGAAGATGAAGAGGAATTCATTATTGGTAAAGAAGTACTAGTGCTTCTGGGTATCGATGTGGATCGACAGCTCGAGCAGCTAGTGGAGAATGTGGATGCGACAGATGACGACCCAATAGAGTTTGATGATGACGTTGCGGTCGGTGGAGTGTTTGACACCGAATTAAAGGAGGGAGTGGGGAAAATACTGAGAGCTGCAGTTGAGTATGGCTTTCCGGAGGAACGACTTGATGACTTACGTGTGGTGGGGTAGATGTTCGACATCTGGAGATTAAAACTCGGTTGCGACCCTCCTGCAAAGGTCCTTCCACTTCTGATAAAGCTAAAGGAAGGTGCAACACCGCATCGATGCAAAGCTCGCCAGTATCCACCTCATCTCCGAGCAATCCTGCGTGAGTTTAATGAGGAGCTCGAGAGAATGGGCTGGATCTATGAACAGCCACAGAGCAGATGGGCTAGTGCTGCACTGCCGATCAGGAAGCCAGGCTCAGATGAATACAGGCAGACGGCATATTACCGAGTAGCAAATGATAAGACTGAAGCTGCAGCAGGAGCAATGCCGATACTGAAGGTTGTCTTAGAACATGTTCGAGGCATGCAGCATTTCGGACTTTTCGATTTTTTGAAAGGATTCTGGCAGCTGCCCCTCGCCAAATATTGCCTAGAGATCTTGTCCTACATGACTGATTCCAAGGTTTACACGGTGACCCGCGTTCCACAAGGGTGCAGTGATGCCGCGATTCACTTCCAGCGCACAATGAAAAAGTGTTTTACGGAGTTGCTATACAAGCACTTACTAGTGTGGGTACATGATTTGCTTCTTTATGCTGGTACAATTGACGAGTACCTCGAAAAGCTAAAGCGATTATTTTGCCTCGTGAACGACTTCGGTTTGAAACTAAGTGTGAAGAAGTCTAGATTATAACAACAGAATATGCGATGGTGTGGGAAATGCATCGATGGCGATGGGGTTCGACATGACCCCGATCGCATCCAGGCACTCCGTGGTCCAAAGACTGCTGGGGAACTCCAGCAGTTGCTCTGTGTTGCAAATTGGTTACGTGAGAGTATTGTGAGCTACGCAGAAGTGATGCAACCTCTCCAAACCTGTCTCAACAATGCATTGAGGAACACAAAGCGGTATGACTAACTCACAAAAATGACTGGCGTCATCTTTCAATACTAATAGATATTGGCTTGGTCCGAACGATTCACCCAAATATAGAAATTCAAAGTGCAAGGCTTCATTTCGGTTGGCGCTGCAAAACGTTTCTCCCCACGGCCTTGGAATGATTTTACCCCCTTTTACATGCTGGCATAACAAGCATTTCGAAAAGAAACGATCCACTTGTCTGCGAAGATCGGCAATCGAAAATATTTGAGTCAGCTGACTCATCATTGCATGGCGACCCCGATGTCCTTGGGGTCCACAGTGTGAAACGATGAGCAGGCGACGTAACAGCACTGTCCCCTCATTAGGAATCCATCATTAAGAGCCTCTAACAATCAAACCATCATCTCGGGTTGTCATTCCCATCGGCACAGACTTCTGGGAGTGTCGTCGTTGATCCCGTAGAACCTCGTCTAATGTAGGCTAGACAAACTGTTCGTCATCCAGAGGGCGTAGTATCACTCGTTGTCGCTCTTTGTCTCCTCGAGATGAGACGCGGCGCAGTTGGATCATTGCAGGTGACGGATAAGCCCACCATGTCAGCATATCCGTCCATACGTACGCTGTCTCCGCGATCTGATCAATCGTATACCGGAATTCTGTGAGTTTCATCGCCCACCGCAACAACTTACCCCGGATATGCTTCTTCACACTCTCAGCTGGTGCGAAAACACGGATAAGATTTCTATGATCGCACAGCATCCGAAAGCCCTTGGGTCGCATAAGTAGATATGACAGCTTCTCGCTCGCAATGACAATTGGAAAGGCTTCTTTCTCAATGACACTCCAATTCACCTGAGCCCCTATGAAGGTTCCACTTAGACACGTCAGCAGCTCATGTGATTGTTTTTCATTTGCCTTTTCGTCATCCCATTTTTCGACTTGTGAAATAACGACGCTCCAGGCTTTGTCTGATGCATCTGTAACTACCAACATTTCTCCGGTTAGATTAGGATGGTGTAGTGTAGCTGAAGTAGCTAGTACATCACGGGCCCGACTGAATGCCTCACGCAACTCCGGAGTCCCTGTGATAGGTATGGCTGCTGCAGCGCGCTTCATCTGTGAGACGCCTACGAGAGGGTGGTTGTACAAGCTAAGGTAGTCACTTTAAAAGTGACGAGATGGACACTCTGTGCAGCAAGTTGAAGTGCGAACATACATTCTCGGTGGCATACTGTCCGTGGATTAATGGATCTACTGAGCGTCTAAACAGAGATATCCTACAGGTGCTACGTGCTATGATTTTGGAGTACAAAGTGGACTACCGCGACTGGGTGTCGCTGATTCCAATATTACAATCTGGTCTAAATCATACCCCGCTACCGTCCCTGGCACACGAATGTCCCCTCGAGCTGTTTACTGGCCTACAGCCACCCTCACCGTTCGCACCTGCGTTTGTGCAACGGCAAGGGCAAGGGGAGCTAGGTGAGGGAGGTAGTGCGGCTAAGATCGAGAAAGCACTCGAGCGGTTGCGCGAAAGTGTCACCGATATGCACAGGGATGTCACTACTTCGACGGAAAAACAGACCCTGCTGAACAAACGGAAAGAACGAGGGGAGAACCTGGTTAATTTTTTTCGTGGGAGACTTCGTATTGCGCTCTCGAGTAGATGAGAAACGTGTCAACAAACTACTTGTTACCTGGGTGGGACCGTACGTGGTGACGGAAGCTCACCCACGTCATTTTGTGGTAAAAGATTTAGTGACCGGCAAGTCGAGTGACATACATGCGTCACGTTTAAAGTTTTTTGCGGAAAGTGACCTACAAGTCACTGCAGAATTGTTGGAACATGTTGCCGCACAAAGCATTGTTCTAGATATTAGCAAGATCTGGCAGCATCGCTGGAACACCATCCGGGTTGACTATGAGCTTCTGATCAACTGGCGCGGCCTCGAATAGATTGAGGATTCCTGGGAGCCTTTCGTCTCTATGGTGCGAGATGTACGCGTGCTAGTGGAGCAGTATGTTATGGACGCCGGAGACAAGCAGCTTGCGGAGCACTGGAGAAAGTCGCAACAATAAGCAGCAGCTAAATTTTACGGCTGGTTTAAATGTCCTGGAATATGTGGAGTACTATTTGATGTGCAGTCTAATTGGGCGGACATGACGTGCTGTTTCTATTTGATTGCAACACTTCAACGAGGTCAAGTTGAAGTTCATTGATTTGGATACACTATGGCCTGGCAATTTTGACAAACGAAAATTTCGGTTACGTTGTAATATTTCGGTTTTCCTCGTGGTAGGAATATTAGGGTGTGTCGTTGCCTGACAAATATATATCTTACGAGGCTGAGTGAGGCTTTGAGAGGGGACTGTAGCGGGCTGAGGTGGATAGCCTCACACAGAATGATCAAGAGAATCCCCAGATAATCAGTGGCAGGGCTGCCACTGCCAGCCGTCCGTGCGGACAACTGGACGATCGTTTTGCTTGTTCGAGCTGGTGTAGTGACATAGGGAACAGTTTAAGACTTGCAATATAGACGGCAAGAAGCGTTTAGGGAGCCAGCTCCCCCAATCGGTGTTCTTCTGCAAGACCCACCACGCGCAGCGTAATTGCCGCACGAAGTTCAAATCCTACTGATCAAGACCAAGAGTATGATCGACAATGAAGAGTACGGCTCCCATGTTAATGCCGGTCCACCTGAGCGTTTGTCCATACAAGCGCACGAGTGCCGAGAATATCGACTAGTAAAGCGTCAAGTCGGCCTGGAAGAACATGTACTGTGGGTTTGTCGAGCGAAAACGTTAATCCCGTCAATGGCGAGGTTTCGACGTGGACGGCCTCAGAGGATTCGGTTGACCAATGTGTCCAACCGGACTGTGTACCTACCAGCACACGACTTGATCGCGATGTGGATTTCAGATGAGGTTTTGCCGCGAGGTGACGGCTATGTGCGTCTGGACTCCAAGAAGTACCAAGATTGGCAAGTGCTGGCCTATGATGGTTGCAGAGACCGCGAGCTGTTTCAGCGTTTGTGTTTAATCTACGAGCAATGGCTTGCAACTCAGGCTTCGGCAGTCGAGCGACCAGACTATCCAGAACCCAGTGGAGTGTTAGCAAGGCGTTTTAAAGACTCGCTAAAGGACTCTGGTGATCGTCTGACGTGCGCAAAGAGCTGGGCGATGATCACGGAAGAACGTGAAGGAGTGGAGGCCTGCCTGGCGACTGGGGTGACGGCCGGGGACTCGGGTTTTGTCCAATTTTCCGAAAAGCCTTTAAACACTTACACGACAGTTCACGGCGGAGGCAATAATGCAAACGAAGTCTCGGTAGCGCGTACACACGAACTATTGATCTCGGTAAACGTTGTGCATTCGCCAACGAGTGTTCGTTTCGAGTCTAGGGTAACAACAGAAGCGACAAGTAACAGCACTGGATCAGATGGAGTCACCAGTCTCGACGATGTTGTCCCGACCTTGTGCGCAGTCAAATTTGCGAATGAATCATCAGTGGTTGGTCCAGAGGATGCAGACGTCGCACTGAAGGTGGTGAACACGGCACCGAGTGCTCGCTGCGAGATTGGAGCGAATACCGGACTGTCAAGACCACGGTCATCCAAGGCGCTGAACAGAAGTCAACAGCCCAATAAATCGGCTGCCTGCACATTCGATGTTGCGAACAAAGACTCGGCGGGTGGCCCAGAGATGGGAAACCAAGCGGAGAAGGAGATGAACCCAGTACCGAGTGATCAAATCGAAGCGAATGCCGACGTTGAGTCGAGGGAAGAGGCCGTCGCGACTTTGGACGAGACGTACATGTCG